CGTTATATTTGGGTGAAGACGGCAAGGTGCACCGCAGTGAACTGACCTTTTTCTATGACACAGGGCTTATGACACAAGGCTTTATTTGTGCTCATAACTCGAGTTTTACGTCTAGGTGTTCAAAATATCGTGTCAAAGGGGTCAACTCCGTATTAAGTATTGTGTCAGACTGGTCGACTACTTAAGCCAAGTGTAGCCATAACTGTGGTCAACTCCATAACCCAAGTATAGCCATAACTGCGGTCAACTCTGTAACCCAAATATAGCCATCACTGTGGTCAACGCCATAACCCAAGTATTGCATAATTTGCAGCCGCATAATTCAACTATATGTGGATAACCGTGGTCGACGCCATAATCCAAGTATGTGCCTAACCTTAGTTAACGGCCAAAACTCAAGTATTGCATGGGAGTGGTGAACTCCATAACCTAAGATGGCACCATAAGGGTGGGCAACTGCATAACCTGTGTGCTGCGCTGTAATTATGTGCAACCCCACTTCTTGCCATGGGGCTGCACGTCCTGAATTGGTAAGGCCTTAGCGACTGTGAAGTAGGAGTGTAAATCCTCTCTCTCTCTCTCTCTCTCTCTCTCTCTCTCTCTCTCTCTCTCTCCCTCTCCTTCTCGCTCTGGTCATGCGCTCGACATTCAGGGTTGCAGTTATGTGCAACCCCACTTCTTGCCACGGCGCTCCACCTCCTGAATGGGTAAGGGCTTAGAGATTGTGAAAGCGTCTACGGGGGTAAGTACTTGATTTGAACTGTCCGGGCGCGCAGGAGCTTGTTTCTGTTTGGGCGTCTGATCCACGAGTCTCGACAATCTGTCAACTCAAGCCGTGCTCGATACATCATCTGGCTGTGAAACCGCGAGTCCATCCACAGGCGGCAGTGAAGATTTTGCTCGTACACGAGTACCGGGCCAAAGTCTACAGCTGGATGTTTTTCCTCGGGTTACCCTCAGGGATTATCCTCAGTCCGCAGGCCTGTCTCTCTCTCTCTCTCTCTTGCTCTCCACGCATCCCCTCCTTCCTGGCGACTTTTGTCTTTCTCTCTCCACATCCCCTTCTTCCTGGTGAATCCCTCCCTAAGCTGTAGGAGCAGTTGGTACCCAGAGGTCACAGGTCTGGTCTGACCCTCTGACATAAGAGCAGTTTGGCCAACGTGAAGTGTGGAACTCACGTGCCTATCGTGCCCAGACTGACAGTGAATTGAAACGAGTGTCAGTCAGTCACTCTGTAAAAGTCTGTGACCTGCCCTGAAATTTCAACGTTTCAAGAATTGAATAAAGAACCTCTCTAGGAAAATCAACTCCACATACGCATCCAAGGACTCCGCGGTATCGAATGCACAAGAAGCCAGAGGGGAAGAAAATAGGTTTTAGCAGAGGGGTGCGACTGGACCGAAGGAAGCTGATAAGCAGAGCAGATATATGCTCTGACAGAAACAAGGAGATCAAATCCTGATGCATGCATCCACTGTTGCTGGTTATCCATTTCCGTATCACTCGGAAAAGGAGCAGAGATACGGGTGCTTAAGCTGACTATTCAGCCGATGCTCTCTTCCAACTGGCAAGAGCAGAATTGTACAAGGGCATGAGCCAAAGGTAAAAAAATTTGAATGCTTCTTTTTTTCCGTGTGTGTGTGTGTGTGTGTGTGTGAGCGCACGAGAGAGAGAGAGAGAGAGAGAGAGAGAGAGAGAGAGAGAGAGAGAGAGAGAGAGAGAGAGAGAGAGAGAGAGAGAGAGATCAGTGCACTGGTGGTATCTTCGGCTACCTCGTAACTCCAGATATTGAGATTCAAAGTCGGTCGGTAGCAGCTACGGCAATTTTATACGAACTTAGCTGCAAAAGTAGGTATAGGAGTTTTCAAAACCGTGGCGGCCAACCATGAAGTGAAAGCAGAAATACAGAATTGCACGGATTAACGGATGTGGATATCAAGGCTTAAATAATCACTACCGTTAAAGAAAGTCTCGTGGTTGTGTCATAATCAACTTCCTAGCGTGGTTCCCTGTAAAAGACCTCAGGGGTGAAATATTTCGATTAGACGAGCACACTGCACAGGGTGTGCAAGCGGGGAAGGTTCAGGTGGAAAATGGGCAAATCGATTTATGATGCATACCGACCTTTTGTGATCAGTGCGTAGGGCGGAAGACCGAAACTGAAAAAAAGGAAGAGGCCGAAATTCCACTCACTTACTCCTCTATACCTCCTGTAGTGCTGTCTACTGGATCTTCTACCTTCTGTCCTGTGTGTCAGGCCTTGAAGCTGTCTGCTGTGCCAGTTCTCTTGAGAGCAGAAATTTGTCCAGAGCGAGTAAATTTGGTCTTGAGTCAAGGTTGCACCCTACTGAATGACAGACGGGATGGCACTGACTGGTCATTGCGCTCTGCCAATTGTGTTTGAGTCCCGGGCCACCTTGCTGAAACCCCTCTCTGGATGAACTTTGTCATGATGTTTGGCGTTGTGGTTTTGAAGGGGAGGTGGGGGGTAAACTTTTTGGCGTGAGAAAAAAGAAAGAATGGCACTGATGCTGGTGGTTGAGATTTAGGTGAAAAAGGGCGGGGGATAATGAATAGATGATTCCCCTCTCGGGCTTCCATGTTCCACGAAATGATGTGCCCGTTAATCTTCAACCTGGCTCTTGAACTTTGATGGTTGGAACACGGTGCAAGGCAACAGCCAAGCAAAGAAGTGGGAGAGAGCATGTGGTGTCAGATGGGGATTCGCTATGATTATGATGAGCGATGATGATGATGATGATGATGATGATGCGTGCGATTTGAAGAAGAGCAGGGAGAAGAAGAAGAAGCCATGGTGATAATGGTGGTAACCTGGCAAACTTCGATTGTTTGGAACACAGTGCAAGGCAACGGCCAAGTGAAGAAGAAAGTGGAGAAGTCGGGGAGAGCATATGGCGTATAGATGGGGATTCTATATGATTATGATGAATGATGATCATGATGCTCACTGGGATTTGAAGAAGAGCATAGCATATGCTGTTCATCTAACTGCTGTTCTTCAAATCCCTGGCACGGTCATTGTCATCATCATTCATCATAATCATAGAGATCCCGATCTGACGCCACACGCCCTCTCCCACTTCTCTGCTCGGGTGTCACCTTGCACTGTGTCTCAATGGTCAAAAGTCCAGGTTACCATCATTATCATCATGTCTTCTTCGTCTCCCTCTTCCATCTGACGCCACCTGCTCTTCCCCACTTCTCTGCTTGGCTGGTGACTTGCACCGTGTTTTAATGATCAAACACGAAGATCATTACCACCACATCATCGGCTGAGTTTATGGTGGTTGAGTTGATTTCCAACACCCTTCTTATCCTCCTCCTCACCCACTCTGCTCTGGCTGAAGACATGCAGGATGAGTGGGTGCACACAAACCCACTCACGACAATCGTCGTCAACGCTCTTAGGCCCCTTCCCCCCTCCCCCGCCCCACAGCACCACCACCACCTAAAGAAGAAAAAAGAAGAAAAAAACCGTAATTTTGAGCAGGACACAACGAGAAGAAGATGGCAGTTTGATTTTAATCCGTGAAGCGCCCGTTGCCACAGTGGCAAGGGTATTTGCATTCACCCTCGCGCATCCTGCATTGCCTTTTTAGTGAGAGCATTCGCGAGGAGATGAGAAGAATATAGCAGTTTGATATTCAAAGCCCTAAAAACATTGGTAGTCGGTCTGGTGAGCGGGTTTGCATTCATCCTAGCGCATGCTGCATGGCCTTCTCAGCCAGAACATGGTGGCAAGGAACATGAGGTAGAGAAGAATGGTGTTGGCAACACCCTAAACTTGGGCGAAGATGTGATGATGATAATCTTCATGTTCACAAAAACTGTTGGTGATGAGTGTCGATTGGAGGATCAGTGATGTGGTGTGATGTGATGTGATTTGAAACGCTGGACTGAACGGTTTGACGCCTGCTGTGCCTGCGACTGATCTGTGCGTGCAGTGCCAGTGCCAAAGCTGATGACCATCACTGGTAGGCTGCATCTAGTTGCAGCTGAAATCGGTTGAGCAACTATCAGCAGAAACAGGCGGCATTTCGTGTCAATGTAGCCTTTTCTCCATTAGACATTTGCGTAGTTTTGCTGAAGGATAGATTTTCGTTGATGTGCTAGAGAGAAAGGAGGTTCTTGATATATTTCCACTACCCTCCATCTAGTTGCAGCTGAAATCGGTTGAGCAACTATCAGCAGAAACAGGCGGCATTTCGTGTCAATGTAGCCTTTTCTCCATTAGACATTTGYGTAGTTTTGCTGAAGGATAGATTTTCGTTGATGTGCTAGAGAGAAAGGAGGTTCTTGATATATTTCCACTACCCTCCATGTGGATGATTTTATGATTGTGGTGAACTCGTATATTTCTCGGCAAGTTAGTTTCTCTGAGTGTCGGCTCTGTGGTCTGATGGCACTATATGCTTGCAAAGTCCTGTGCGAAGCCCTCAAGAGATTTGATTCAGCACCCTGGAATACCCTCTAAGCGTCTAAATATCATGCTTGTGTGCTAGTGCCTGATGTGTTGTACACTATGAACAGATGAGGTTCCCTGAAAGAGTTTGTACGAGCAATCTGTGGAGGGTTGATTGCCATGCTGAAGTGGAAGACATTTGTGCTGGCAAACAGTTGCACACTCACTCTCTCCAATGCATTTGTGTGTGTGTGTTCGCTATGCACAAGTCCACAAAAGAAGCATGAATGTGCCAGACTGTTTCGTCAGACTTTCACCAACTCGTGTGTGTGTGTGTGTGTGTGTGTGTGTGTGTGTGTGTGTGTGAGTCAGCAAGGTGAGTGGTCTGTTGGTTGGTGGGTTGCTTGATGGTTGTGGGTTCATTGTTCCGTTATCGGAAGCGTTTGGTAGGGAAAGCAAGCCCCGTGTGAGTGCCTGTTGCTCTGCTCAGCCACTGATCTATGTTATGTAGGTGTGAGCACATCCTGATATGGTTTTGATCCTCCTTGTGGGGTTTGTGTGCTGCATGTGCTACCAGGTTACTTCATCCCCATTTCCTTGTATGTTTCCATAGAGATTGTGAAAATCTTCCAGGCGTTGCTTATCAATGCTGATTTGAAGATGTATTATGAAGACACAGACCAGCCAGCTTTTGCTCGAACATCGAATCTCAATGAAGAACTGGGACAGGTACGCAAGCCTTTGCTTTTTTCCGATGCCCTCCTCTGCACTGCCTTTGAGGCCCTCTCAAATTAGGAGAAATCCATGTTTGCCTCGGGCGTGTTTGTTTTCTCCCATTGTGTTTCCCCTCCCCGGAATAGGTGTTTGTTGTCTTCCATTGTGTTTCCCATCCCCCCAGTGCTGCAATTGCAGAGCACTCAGCGGTCCAATGTAATGCTGTGGTTGTTAGCAGCTTGCTTTATGCAATCCATGTGGAGCGGAACTGGAATACCTGGGAAGGTTGTGTGTGGCCGAGTCAGCCCGTATCTGCCCGCCTGGTGCCTGAATGCCACACAGGTGCACCTGCTGACAAAAATATATAGGGTTCAAATCTTGCTACATGCTGTAATCTCAAGGTCTACCCTCTTCTAAATAAAGAGAAAAGGACCTAAGAATCAGCCAACATGAGCAGGGTAGTCAATGCTGATGAGGAGCAGAGGTCAGCTGGAATACGTCGTAGCTGCATCATCCTGTATGGGTTGCGCTGGGCATGAAGAAAACTGTCACCCGTCAGGTCGGGGAAGGATGAGGGGGTCGTGATGGGGTGGTGTCTCAGAGTTTTTTGTGCATTTTATCTATTAACCAAAGTGGGGAAGCTCTTGCGCCTTATAAGCATAGCAGCTCCATCGGAGATTCGAACTCTGGCTGGGCATGGCTGAGATACCCAAGTTTTCATATTATTCAGCGCTTCTTGTATCCTCAATTCCCATATGTTTCGTTGTTGTTGTTCTAGGCTACGATTCTCTGGTCAGGTGCATAAGGATGATTGATATTATTTGGAATTGAGAAGGGGCGGTGGGGGTGGGGTGGGGTGGTGAGAATGGGATGGAGTACCAGAAGAAGACGAGAGAATGATTTACAGTAATATGTCGGATGCCTGCTGTGTGCGCCAAAGTTCGGATCCTTTTGGCACTGGATCACTTTGCACGTTTATGTGGCAACATTGGACGAGACAGGAACAGCTGAAGGGAATCATGAGGTTTAGATAAGCTAGAAAGCACGACGAAGAGTTTCAATAATATATAAGTGGTGGTTTGATGACTATAGATCGACCAACAGTGATCTTGAATATTGCTGGGTGATTCAGTCAACCATATTTCGGATCCAAAAGCATTTTATTTTATTTTTAAAATGAAAAAAATTCAATCAGATATCTCATATCAACACTGAGGCGGGAGTCCTCACAATTCAACCCGGAGTTATCCTGGCAGCATCAGCCAGCTTATGAGCACCGCTCAGAAATTTAAATACACAACCTCACAACAAAGACCTTTATATCTTCCAATACATCTGCACTAATGTTACCGAACTCAACTATCCTCAGTTGTATTCCATCTAGTCTATCCTATAACTAATACACAGGCCTATGCCGGCCTGACATCAGTCTAATGTCGACCGACTGGAACAGTATTCCTAGTAGCCATGGCCCTCTCCTCCTCCTCCTCCCGTACTTACCTTCCACGGCCCTAAACCTGAACCGAGTGCCTTGGTTCGTCATAAACTCCACCACAGGCCCCAAAAAAAACAAACAAACCGCAAAGGAAGAAGGAAGACAAACAACTCCCACCTTTTACCCTACTCCTCTACTCAACATTAACCCTTGAGGAGGTGTTGCAGACCCCTGAAACTCATTTGACCACACTCGGATTATCAAGTTACCTTCCGGCGATGCCTGCGCCAGCCTGTTGCCAAGGCACCAGGTTTCCTGGAACCTGCACAGTCCTGATTCGCGGTCCCCTCGAGACTCTTTCCGTGACCAATCCGCTTTAATTGCTGCTACCAGCAACAAGCCGAAGGTAGCTTCCGAATTGCTGCACTTTTTGCCTGGAGGCTCACAAGAGCGTTTTCCTTCGGTCTGGAAGCCTCGAGTGATTTCATAGAGGTGCCCTCTATCTTTCCCCCAACTCCTTCGTGGGAGCCTGGATTAGGCGCTAGCTTCTTATAGGAAGCAATCCATAGGTTTATGTCTTTCATGAGACTGCTGAATAGGCCACTGGCACAAAATTCTTCATAGCTAGTGCTCCTTAGGTTATGATTGCCTCTCTGGGACACACTCCCCTGGAAATCTCATGCTATTCCTGTCTGACCAGATTTCCCAGAGCATGATCGCGCTACCCACCTGAGCAACATAGCGCCAATCCTTCTCCCCATTGCATCCATCCGGTAGCCCTCCCATGATAACCCACCGATGACCAACTAACTCTACCGGTCCTGCCACCATCTCCCGAGGATACTTCCACCACTGCCACCATCTTCTTGACTTCGGTCACTCCCACTATAGGTGCTCTACTGTCGCCGAAGGAGCCTGGCACCTATCGCATTTGTTGTTCTCAACCTCCATTCCCCAATCCGACAGCCATTGAGTAGTTGGTACAACCAAGTGAGATTGCAGCCACAGTAATGAAGCTAATCTTTGTGACAGTGGAGACTCTAGTTGTGACCAAAGACTGGACAGCTCCCTCTCAGAGGGGGGTTTCAGGCCTCTCACTTCCCTGCTCCGGAGCGTGACGACTTTGTCTTTTGTTGGGGCAGAATCAGCAGCGACTCTTAAACTTAGTTTCACATCTAACTTTTCCACCCCAACTACCAGTTTGTCATCTACAGGTTGCCATGCTGCTGGGTCGATTCTCATATCTTTCAACAAGGCCCCATTACTAACCAAGTGCGGGATCCTTGGGAGGCCTTCCTCTGCAGGTGCCTTCAACCTCACCCGAACCGATTGAGACCACAGTGTAGACACATGCCGACCCTCTCCAGCTCAGGAAGGTTCGGCAGGGTCCGCTTGTACGATTCCAACCAGCATTTCCCAGAACCATCTGACAGCCAACTATCTAACCTGTAGAACCATCCAGGTTCTCCCTCCTCCCATGCATGCCATGCATCTGGTTGGTCGAGGCGTTCGGGACCCAGTAAAAGCTTCCACGAAAGAGGGATGGCTTCCTTGTGATGTATTCTAATATCTCCTCCTGGAGGGGCAGCTGACCCAAAATGACTTCAAACCGGTGAGCTGACTTCCACTGATTTATATTGTCATCCCAAAGGTCACCCACAGTTGAGATGCCCTTCCGAAGCCAGGACTGGCCCAAGGAGCCTGACTCTCTCCAGCGAGAGCCATTCTCCATCAGGTCCTCTGATGTGGTCGTTTTCAAACAGGTGCTGGCGCCTAACTTCTTCCTTTGATCTTGGCTGCACGGTGACTGTTGGTCTGGCCTTTTTCCAGGCCATCAGAACCTCCCTCCAAAACTTTGAGTTGGGGTGTTTCCGTAAATACGTTTCCAAACTCTACCTCATAACATGCAAGTGTGGCGTCAAGGCACATGGGGATGTGGCCAGCCTTGTGCAGGAGAGGCATACTAAAAGGAGAGCTGCTTGAACAAACAAAAGGGGTACCCTGAAGAGAACTTAAGTAAAGATACTTAATAGAGGGAAATGATGGGTCTACTGTGTTCCGTGTCGCTTGCTATAGAAGTAAAACTGTGTCATTGATGGATGGGCTCATCTCAATTGTTGTCTGCAATAGCGGTGAAGTTGCTTTGATTTTGGATCTACTCATCCGGATGGAATGGGGGCTGTTGAGGTGCAAATCTAAAACAGACACACACACACACACACACACACACACACACACACACACACACACACACAGACACACACACACACACGCACACACAG